AAATAAAATAATAATGTTATTAGGATAAAATTTTGTATTTTCAAAATTTGGATTGAATTTGATTTGTTACCAAAAAAAAGAAAATAATAAAAATCATAGAAAAATGCCACGTGTCAAAGATATATTCTAAAAAAACTGACACGTATCATTTTTAGGTTTTATTTATTAGAAGAGGTAGATTAACTTATATAGTATGAAAACATGATAAGTTGATATATTGTTTTTTAATGTTTAACAATTTTGCTTATAAGACATCATTTGACTTTTTTGTTATAGTTGTAATTTAGTTTTCACTGTTAATAAGGAGTTTCTAATAAGTTAAAAAAAAAAAAAAAAGGAAAAGTTTATTCCTGTAACACACCGGAATAAATAGAAGAGTAAAGACAAAATTGCAAAAATGGTCTCTGTGGTATGCAAAATTTTGGGGTTTTAGTCCAAATCCCGAGTTTTTTGGATTCATGGTCCTTTTAGAGTGGTTTGTATGTGGAATTGGTCCCCGGACTTAACTTCCGTTAACTTGATGCTGTTAACCCCCTCGTGTGCCTCTCACATGAGGATATATTTGTCTTTTTACTTCTAAAGGAGCATTTTTGCATTGAAAAAAATATATCCCTCTTTTTTTTTTAAAAAAATTGATACTTATTTATTTATTTTAATAATTAAAAAATAAAAGATCTCTCTCTCTCTCTCTCCATTTTAGATCCAAACTCGATTTCATATTTGAAAAATTATTTCATGTTCTGGGGAATGGAGAAATGGGCACACAACATAATCATCATCATCTTTCCCGAATCATCACCCTTCTCTATTGCTAAATCCATCTTTAATTTTAGAAACCCCAACTCCAATTTACCCCACCCCTAAATTTACTCCTGTCACTCTGTACCTCCCGTCCGTCGGTGAGAAGCATTATGGTCCAGTGGTCGCTAAAGATCTTGATCTAAATCTAGAAGATTGTGGTTTCATCTGAAAGCGGAGAAACGCCTGAGAAGCTAAAAGGATTTTGTTAGTCGGGGTTCACATCAGACACAACAAGGCGAAAATGGGTTTGGAAGGAAACGACTGCGACGACAACGGCGGTGGAAGGAAAGGGTGTTTGTTCGTCGGAGTTCACATCGGAAACAGCAAGGCGACCATGGCGTTGAAAGGGAAAGGTTGTGGCAACAACGACAGTAGAAGGAAACAATATGATGTTCCGGTGGTTGCTGGTACTTATATAGGGCTTGATAGTGTATGAAACTGATGTGGTGAGAAATCTGATGGTCGATTGGTCGTTGGGTGTCCTGCCACAGCTCTAATTTCCAGCTACCTAATGGCTTCCGACAGTGAATGTGGCATCTGATGGTGGTTCAAACGGATGAGAGAGAGATGGAAATAAATATACGACTTTCAGTTTTAGTCTAATATGCAGCTACCTCAAAATCTATTTAATTTTTTGATTTACAGCTTGCATCTTGTAGTGGCACACTGTGAACATCATCCCCTCCTTCCCAGATTTGTTCGCCAAGGGTTTTTAGATGGTAACTCAAGAATTGGAACCCTAAATTTGAATCTAAACTGAAATTATGCGTGTTTGTGTGTATGAATCCCCACAAATGGAATCAGATATTGAGTTTTTGTTTTGTTTGCGTTTTTTCATTTTCGAAATCGATTTGTGCATGTGTTTTTGTTTTTGGAGAATGTGTGTGTTCTCATTTCTGGAAATCAATTTGTTTGTGGGTGTTCAACCCCATAAATTGATTTGTATGTGGGTGTTCTTGAATGGTATGTGTGGTATGAATTGATTGATGGCAGTTCGGTCTAGTGTACCAGAAGAACATTACGGTTCTACTTTGGTGGATGCTATTGGATTTGGTGGATATCGTAGGGGAGAAAGAGAGAGAGAGAGAGAGAGAGAGAGAGAGAGAGAGAGAGAGAGAGAG